GGTCTGTATTAAGCAGAAGAAAAAACTGACTTGAGCTTCTGAGACCTCAAAGACTGCCCACACAGTGACACACTGCCTTCAGCAAGGCCACGCCTACTCCAACAAGGCCACTTCCTATGGGCCATTCCTATTCAAACCATGTCACACATAAGGAAAAAAAGTAGGCCACCATGGTAATGTTCTGTCAATTTTACTATGTATCTGTTATAAGAAAGGAAAGTGACAGGTAGAATGGTTGAAAACCAACTCAAACCAAAACGTTTCAGTGCTATGCTGCACTAAGAGAAAACATTTGTCAGTAGTGCTAGGAGTCTTTCTTTTTTCCTTTAAAGAATATTTTCTGTATTCTGAGAAAAGAAACTATGCTTTTACCTTTAAAAAGGAAATTATACAGTGAAAAGAAGAGAGACATATCATATTAACTGTAAACTGAAAGGCCATTATGACTGTATCACAATCACCTAACAGTAATGCACACTACCACCGGTACACGTATGATATATATTATCTAGTACAACATGAATAATTAATTTCCAGCCAAAGTAGCTTTTAAAAAATAAAGGAGAGCTGGGTGATCATGGTGCATGCTTCTAATTTCAGCTCTTGAGAAGCAGAGGCAGGTGGATCTCTGTGAATTTGAGGTCGCCCCAGTCTACAGAGTGAGTTCCAGGACAACCAAAGCTACAGAGAGAGAGAGAGAGAGAGAGAGAGAGAGAGAGAGAGAGAGAGAGAGAGAGAGAGAGAGAGAGAGAGAGAGAAAGCAAAGGTGGCTCATGATTATAATCTAGAACTTAGGAGGCTGAGGGTTGAAGCCTGAGCTATATAGTGAGTTCTAGGCTAGACTGGGTGAGACCCTGTCTCAAAACCAAAACCAAACACAAACAAAAAGAAAAGTGATAGTAGTCCTTGTCAGTGACTTGTGATGGAGCTCAGCATAGACCTAGAACAAGGACACACTTGATTGCCATGAAGTGGGGAGGGAACCTCAAAGGGGCTGTTTGGGTTATGTTCAATAAGAGATCTAGAAAAGTGCTATGTTTCAGAAAATTTGCTCTATCTCTGCAATCAGCTATGATGGTGGGTTTTATATAAAGCTGTCAACATTTAGTATAAATGGAAAATATATAATATATTGTAGTTATTTTGAAATGGCAAGAGGAACCCTAGGGCATCCCACTTGATTTATACAGTGTCCTTTTCCCTCCCACTTAAGACTGTACATTTCAGATTCTTGTGTTGACTACACAATGTTTTGATAATGTCTATGAAGTGAACAGTGTGCACTGGTGCCTTTAATGGTATAGAAAACCTCAGAGCATATGGTTGTACTTAAATGCTCTTATCAATTATTAAGTTTGTCATAATTGTTCCTTTGAGACTTTCAACATAATTATCTTTGTTTTTAATATTAAACTTCACCGAAGACACATGAAAGAATAGAAGTATTATAATAATATTTAATTATAAGCACATTTGAATGTCAATATGTAGATTATGTTCTATGATGCTAAGTCACTGGGGAGAGCCTTTCAGAAAATTTCTGTTATTCTCAAGAATACTTCAGACATACATTTAAAAACTGACAGTTTCACACATGCATATAAAAATTTCAGTGTTTTTCATCTTTCCCATTACATTATCACCTATCACCCACCTTTCTACCTCTACCATTGAAACCCCTCTTTGCCCACCTACTTTCATGTCTTTGTGTGTGTATGTGACCCACTGAGTTTAATTGGGGTTGGTTTCATGAGCATGGGTAGGAGGTTATTTACTGGAGCATGGACAGTGCATGAGTGGTTATACCACGGAAGAAAATGATGCCCTATCCCTGGCAACCATTGACTACCAATAGGGAAGGGTGGGGGCTTTATGAGCCCTTCCAATATCCGTGATGAAATGCTAACAGGCACAATCTTGTGTAGGTAACCACAGATGCTATGATTTATAGCCATTGTAGTCTTATTATAATTTACATATATGCATGTGTTTATACATGTATTTGTCAATATGCATGTGGAGGTCATAGGATAACTTGCTGTCTGAGTTACTTCTCTCCTTTCTCTACCTGGGTCCCAGGCAGCATGGGTGTTTAACTGAACAGCTATCTTGCCATTGTGCTATCTTGCTAGCTTGCATTTTGTTTTATATTAAGAACATTATAGAGATGGGTGTGGTGGTGCACACCTTTAATCCTAGCACTTGACAGGCAGAAGCAGGAAGATCTCTGTGAATTCAAGGTCTACCTGGTCTACAGAGTGAGTTCCAGGAAAGCCAGGGCCACATAGAGAGACCTTCCCTTCCAAAAACAATTTTAAAGGAAGAAAGGAAAATTATGGAGAGTAACCATGTGGGATGACATCTGAAGAGCAGTAAGGCTTCTGACTTCTGGACTCTACAGCATTTGCTTCTATTTTTGTTTAAACAAATTCTGTTATTAATGTAAAAATCATGATATAAAGACAAGAGCCAACATATATGATTCTTACTTATAGGATATTTCTCTGTCTGTCTGTCTCTCTGTATCAGGTCATAGCCTAGATGGCAGTTTTAATGAAGTGTTGATCTTCCTACTTACACACAGAGACATAGACAGAGGTAGTGAATATCTTCGAGTGTATACAACAGCACGTTTACAGATCCATGGGATGGACCCAGAAGAGTGGGGGAGACTGACAAGCAAACTGGTGCTGGTTTTACAGAACTAGGCTAAGGGTAAGGGAAAAGTCTGGGGGGTGAGTGGGAGGAGACTTTCACTGGAGGGATGAGCAGGCACATGGACTCTATCTTACAGTTCTGATGTGTTTCTTAGGAAAGAGAATAACTCAGTCTCCTAGGATTGAGGTTAGGAAGAGCTTTGAAAAGATTGATATCTTATTAATCTGTACTTGTCCACCTAGTTATCTGTCTATTTATAGCCAATTAGTAAATTAAAAAAGATGATAATTACTTGCCCTTACAGTTAAAGCTACTAACCAGAAAAACTAGAGCAATCATCATACTTTCTATTCCCCCTCCCCCAGTTTCCTGGGATTGTTATGGTGTTTGGGAGGGTTATAGTTCACTCAGTCAGAAGCTGTGGGAAACTGGGGGGGGGGAGAATTAGTAGGCACAAAGTGGAAAGATTTTTTATTTATAGAGTCGTATTTCTGCATGTTGTAAGATTTTCTTTTTTTTAATTTTAAAAATATTTATTTTAGTTTTATGTGTATGCTTGCATGCTTGAGTGTATGTCTGTGCACCATGTGTGTTGAGGTGCTCACAGTGGCCAAAAGTGAGGTCAAATCTCCTGGGTTTGGAGTTATAGATGGTTGTAAGCTGCCATGTGGGTGCTGGGGACTGAAGCCAGGTCCTCTGAAAGAGCAGTAAGTACTCTTAACTGCTATTTCTCAAACTTCTGTTTTTAAAAAAAAGTTCTTAAAGTAGGTTAAGTTGATAATACATATATATTTTCTCTGTGAGTAATGTGTACTTGAGTAAATACTTCCTGAGTGATGACTAACAGGGTGAAGGTTAATACAGATTTGTGGATCTAGTAATTCAGCTAATAGTCTTCAGGGCTGATATATTAGTTTCAGTGTTAGTTTCAATATGTTATGACATACCAATCATGATTATGTAATTAAGAATATATGATTTCTTAGCCAGGGGTGGTGGTGTACACCTTTAATTTCAGCACTTGGGAGGCTGAGGCAGATGGATCTCTGTGAGTTCAAGGCCAGCCTGGTCTACAAAGTGAGCTCCAGGATGGCCAAGACTACAAAGAGAAACCGTATTTTTTTTTTTTTTTTTTTTTTTAAAAAAAAGAGTATATGGTTTATATGAAAATCTCAGTGATTAGTTTATGTGTGTGTGTGTGTGTGTGTGTGTGTACATGCTTGTGTGTGTGTGCATGTGTAGGAATGTTTGGTGGTCAGTATCTGTGTTTTTCACTTTTACTCTTCCCTTCTTTTAAATTATTGAATGTGTTATTGTGAGTGGTATGTAGTCCAGGCTGGCCTTGAACTCATAGAGATCCATCTACCTCTCTTTCCCACCATGCCTGGCTTAACTATTATTATTTTTATTTTATCTTGTGGCTTAGTTATTTTTCTATTGCTGTGATAAAACATTATGACCATGGTTGTTCATAGAAGGAAGAGTTTATTTGGGCTTATGGTTCCATGTCTTTAAGAGTCCATCGTGGTAGGGAACATGGCAGAAAGCTGAGAGCTCATTTCTTCAACCACAAGCACAAAGCAGAAAGAGCAAACTGGCAGTAGGATGAGGTCTCCAGCTCTCAAAGCCATCCCCTAGTGACATACTTTCTCTAGCAAGGTCACACTTCCCAAACCTTCCAGAACAGTGCTAACAACTGGGGGAGGGGGAAGTGTTCAAATGTCTGAGATTATGGGGGACATTTCTCATTCAAACTACTACATATTGTCCAAGTATTAATGCTTTCCCATGGGCTTCTCCTTTTTCTCTAATAATTATTCGAATTCTTATTAGTTTCTTTCCTATATGTGAAAGAAAATTGCCCCAACCTCCCTTTACAACCACAACTCTGAAATAAGCAGCCTTGGAAACACATAGACATACACCATGTCTTCCAGCTTCTCATCTAAGTCTTTGCAAGAATGGGCAAGAATACAAAGTCCCTGAGCATTATGTGTCCATGGAAGTCAGATGGCTTGCCTACTGTCGGGTATGTGTCAAGAGGTCGGCAATAGCTTTCAATTAAGGTTTCTGACCAAATGGAAACTGGTTTGATAAGTTTGAAAGTCAATTTTGAATCCACTAGCATTTATTAGAGCTAAGCCAAGGCAGCATGAGAACAGATAATAACTTGGGAGTCTGTTGCTTCTCTGATATTGGATTTGGCACCCTGAGTCTTGGAGGACTGAAAAGACGTGCCAAATAGAAGTCTCCCTTACTCCATGATTGTCGGGAACCCTGTACTTTGGAAAGATTTCTCCTTACTTATAATTATTTTTTTTTGTGTGTGTGTCCTTGTACAGGCACCATGTCTGCAGAAACACCAATCTCCCTGAATATGGACATCCAGGATCTGCAGGTCCAGACAATCACTGTGGAGAAGCTGCTAGAGCCCCTGATAATCCAGGTATGAGCACCGTGGGTGCAACAGTGGACAACAACTGTGTTTTAGCAGAATTTACAATGGTGGGAACAGCAAGGGGTCAAGGGCAGATTTGGTTCTAGATACTAATGAATACATGATCTAACATCATCCTTTATTTAAACTGGTATTAGCTGGGTGGGGTGGTACACACTTTTAATCCCAGCACTCAGGAGGTAGAGGCAGGCAAATAGATCTCTGTGAGGTCAATTCTTGTCAGGTGTATACATGGCCTTAATCCCTCCAAATAAAATGGTATTAAGATATAAAAGTATGTTTTTGATATTAATAATACAATTCTGAAAGTTTTCCTTCAGATTCTTTTTTTGGCACTAACTACAATATTAATACACACACATATATTTTATATATTTGAAATAGGGTCAATGTAGATCAGAGTGGTCTTTAGCACATGACTCCTTGCCTCATCCTAAGTCAGGTGGTGGTGGCGTACATCTTTAATCCCCAGCACTCAGAAGGCAGAGGCAGGCGGATCTCTGTGAGTTCGATGTTAGCCTGGTATACAAAGCGAGTTCCAGGACAGCCAGAACTGTTACATGGAGAAATCCTGTCTCAAAATACCAAAAAAGAGGTGTATGTAACAATTATTATTATTATTACTTTTTTGTGTGTGTGTGCATGTGTGTACATGATGAGTGTGAATGGGCACCTGTGTGGTGGCACATGTGTAGAGGTTGGAGGACAACGTTGTGGAGTCATTTCTCTCCTGGCTGTCAGACTTGTGTGGCAAGTGACTTTACCTGCTGAACCATCTCCCTAACTCCAGATGTATATATAATTGTAAAGCACTGCTATGTAAGTTATCTTGGATACTCCCTTAACCTAGAGACAGGAGAGAAGGCCTAGTCCCTACTCCAAATGACTTGACAGATTTAGATGACCCCTCCTGGAGGGCATTACCCTACATGTGGAGTGGGGGAGGGTGGGAGGGGAAGGTGGTTGGGGGGCATGAGAGGGTGGGAGAGAAGGAAAGAGGGAGGAAGGGAGGGAGAGGGAACTGGGATCTATATGTAAAATAAAAATAAAAAAAAATTTAAAGGACTCCTATGATAGTCTTCCATGAAATAAATAATCATTTGATCATATGAATAATGACTCTCTGACTTAGTTATTATGTAAAACTTGATTTTGTGTATTGGATTTTTTAAATTAAAAATGTTTTTATTACCATAAATTATATATAAAATGGATTTCATTATGACATTTTAATACATACATAAGATTATTTTGATCATATTCACCCCATTACCATTTCTTATCCCTGAGTATTTGATTTTCTTGATGTTGAGCTTAAAAGAATCTATTCATTGATGTAGATCTAAATATTTTACCTTTAACAGCAAAACTGATAAAGCAAAACTCTACATCATGCACTCAGGTCCCTCCTTCTAAAGACACTAAACTCTCAAGGTTTGCTTAGGTGAAAAACTACAGTGATCTTATGTCTGATTATTCAAAAGTGCTCTGTGTCTTTTCTGGGCATGCACGGTGCAGTAGCTCTGAGGACAGACATGGGGCATGTTTTCACTGAGCACAAATTGAGGCCTACTATTGGGAAGACAATTTAAAACATTTCTCACTGGTGACAGCTGAGTTTTATATTAACTGTTGCTGTCTAAAAAGCACTAAAACCTAAAATTAATACTGCTTAAGCCATTTACTGTACTGAATGCTTTCATGTTGAGACACAAAACAAAATATCTATCTATCTATCTATCTATCTATCTATCTATCTATCTATCTATCTATCTACCTACCCACCCATCTACATATCATTTCTCTTTCTCTCTCCCATGTTAAATTTAAACTCAGAGTGCTCCTATCTTTGTTTTCTGGGTGCACTATTATGTCTGGCTTTATTTTGTTTTTCTGACAAAGTTCACTAAAAAAATTATAATCTCCCTGGAGAGCAAAGAAAATTAAAACATATTCAATTTACTATCAAGAAACAAACATTAGTGCATTTTCTTCTAAGACAATAAAATAGTGGATAATTTTCTTAGAACTTTATAATTAAGAGAATATAAATTCAGTGGATAGTGCAGTCCTGCCACACCTCCTGTTTGGGAGGATTAGGTAGCCTAAGATCTCTCTCTCTCTCTCTCTCTCTCTCTCTCTCTCTCTCTCTCTCTCTCTCTCTGTCTCTCTCTCTGTCTCTCTCTCTCTCTCTATATATATATGTATGTGTGTGTGTATTGAATATGTATATATGCACATATGTATATGTGTATATGTGTGTGTATTGAAAAATGTTTTTTCTTTCCTATTTCTGTGTTAAAATACCATGACAAAAGCAACATTATTCAGATCATAATTCTTGGTTGCAGTTCATCTTGGTAAGGAGGTTATAGCCAAGGAGTGTTTCAGTGTTCTATTGCTATAAAGAGACAACATGACCACTGTAACTCTTGAAAGCATTTGATTGGGGGTGTTCAGGAATATTTGTACACTGTGTGAAAATGTATTGCTGTGATTGGAGTAATAAAAAGCTGAATGGTCAATAGCTAGGCAGGAGGTATAGGTGGCACTTCCAGGTACAGAGATAGGAAGAGGAGGAAATAATCAAGGTGTGTGTAAAATGCCAATGACAAATGGAGGGAATTGGATGTACAGAATGAAAGAAAAGTAAAAAAACCATGAGGCAAAAAATAGGTTAATTTAAGTTATAAGAGCTAGTGGGACAAGCCTAAGCTAAGGCCAGGCTTTCATAATTAATAAGAAATCTCTATATCATTATTTGTGAGCTGCCAGCTGACAACAGAACTTGATACAGGGGCTTGCTTACAGTTTCAGAAGTTTAGTCTGTTATCCTCATGGTGAACAATATGGAAATCATGGTGCTAGAGCAGCAGTGGAGAGCTGCACACTCATCCTCAGGCAGGGAGACACAGCTTTTGAAACCTCAAAGTCCACTCCAAGTGACACACGCCCTTCATCAAGGCCACACCTCCCGATCCTTCTAATTCTTTCAAATAGTGCCATTCCCTGCTGACTAAGCATTCAAATATATGAGCCTATGGAGGCTATTTTTATTAAAACCACTACGAGGAGTTTGACAGAATTGGTCACATTTGAATTCACAGTCAAGAGCAGAGAGGATTGCTTTCCTGCCAGTGTTCATCTGGCTCTTTCCCTTTCATCCAGTTCAGGGCTCAGCCCATGAAGGTACCTGCTCACATTCAGGGTGGCTCTTTCCATTCAACATACTCAAAAACATCATCAGAGATCTAGATTGTGTCAAGGTAACAATGAAAACTGACTGTCAAACACACAGACACACAAAGTAGAGAATATGCTGCATATATAGATTATATCTTACTTTTCTATTTAAAATGGTGTTTTGATAGTCTACCCCCTTCTTTTTGTGGTGCTGGGTATTGAACATATGTCCATAAACATTTTAGGCAGTCACTCTAACCACTGAAATACACTTGCAACCCAATTTTTCCATTAAAAAATTTGAACTCTATTTATTATCCAGGTTGTTTTGTCTGCTTATATGTCAGTGTACCATGTTCATGCCTGGTGCCCATGAAAGACAGAAGATGGTGATCCCCTGGGATTAGAGTTACAATGGTTGTGTACCTCTATGTCAGTATTGAGAATTGAACCTATGTCCTCGGAACAGCAGCAAGTACTCTTCTGAGCCATATTGCCAAACCCCATTCTTTTTATTTATTTATTTATCTTATTTACATATTGATCTCAGTTCCCTCTCCCTCCCTCCCACGACCCCCAACCACTCTCCCATCCTATCCCCCCCCACTCCATGAGGGGGTCAACAAAATCTGTCAAGTCATTTGGAGTAGGGACTAAGACCTCCTTCCTGTCTTTAGGCTAAGGGAGTATCCCTCCATGGGGAATGTGCTCCCAAAGTCCTTTTGTGCATCAGGGATACATCCTGGTTCTACTGTCAGAGGTCCCTTAGACTGCCCAGGCCTTCTAACTGAGACCCATGTTCAGGGGGTCTGAGTCAGTCCATTGTTGGTTTCCCAGCTATCAGTCTGGGGTGGGGGGGTGTTCATTAGCTCCTCCTTGTTCAGGTCAGCTGTCTCTGTGGGTTTCTGTAGCCTGGTCTTGTCCTCCCTCTCTGCATCTGGATTCCATTTCGGCTCAGTGTTTAGCTGTGGGTGTCTGCTGTTTCCATCAGCTACTAGATGGGGGTTTTATGATGAATAAATTAGTCACTGATCTCATTATCAGGGAAGGGCATTCATGGTAGCCTTTCCATTGTTGCTCAAATTGTTAGTTGGGGTCATCCTTGTAGGTCTCTAGAGTCAGCTTTCTCTTCAAACCTATAATGGCTCCCTTTTTTATGGTATCTCTCTCTCGTTTTTTCTCTAGTCTATTCCTCCCCTGACTCAATCTTCCTAATCCCACATGCTTTCCTCTCCTCCCCTTCTCTTTTTTCTAGTTTCCTTTCCATTCACTGTCTCCCCTCCCCCCTACAATCCCAATATGCTCAGGAGTTCTTGTTCCTTTCTCCTTCTCTGAGGGATCTTGTATGAATCTCTTAGATTCCTCCTTGTATCCTAGTTTCTCTGGTGGTGTGAATTATAGGCTGGTGATCCTTTGCTCTATGTCTAAAATTCATATGTGAGTGAGTACATACCATGTTCCTCTTTTTGTGACTGAGTTACCTTATTCAAGATGGTTTCTTCATGTTCTATCCATTTGCCTGCGAATTTCAAGATTCCATTGTTTTATTCCATTGTGTAAATGCGCCACATTTTCTTTATCCATTCTTCAGTTGAGGGGTACCTAGGTTGCTTCCAGGTTCTTGCTATTACAAATAATGCTGCTATGAACATAGTTGAACATATGTCTTTATTACATGGATGTGGATCATTTGGGTATATGCCTAAGAGTGGGATTGCTGGGTCCTGTAGTAGACTGATTCCCATTTTCCTGAGGAACTGCCATATTGATCTCCAAAATGGCTGTACACTCCAAAATGGTTTGCA